AAGCCTAATTGAATGCGATAGCTTGCCCCGTTTGCTCGGGACCTAAAAGAACGGCCGCGGTGCATGCAGATATTCGCCGCTGGCAGCGGCCGATACGCAGTCGCCCTCTTCTTCGCCCTGGAGCACGTTCTGGGGCTGGCCGTCGCGGCGATATTCGCCTGCGTGTCCAACGTGCCGCGAGCGGTGGAAATTGCCGTGAAGAAGCGCGAATACGAGAGGCAGCAGAAGTTGACGGATTTCAGGAGGAGGTCCATGAAGCGCGCGATTGAGGGGCCTACGACGGGCTCGCCGAGGGCCCAGAGGGTGTACTCCCCCAGGCGGGAAGCCGGCTCCGGGATCTCACGCAGGAAGAAGGCTTGAGCCGCGGAGATCGGCCTGTGCTTTGAGATCTTTGAGAATGAATGCCGTTCATTGCCGCTGCTTGAAGTCGGTGTGGAGCATCAGGAAAAGGAAACGTCAACCTTTGCCAAACCTTTGGTTGTTGGATGAATGGAAAGGGCATGCTTTTCCTGAGAGACTTATGCATCATGTTGCTCAGTATGAAGTGAATTTCACATCAGTCCCAGTTTGTGCAGATTGTTTGCGAACTCGATGCTCGCAATGGCACACATTGACCAGGCGTGTTGCGCCCCAGCTAGGTCATTGGCTTGGGCAACGCTATCTCGGGGCAACGCGGGTGGGGATGGAAAGGCGCGAAGGGGCGCGCGTTGGTGGGGTACTACACTCGCGAGGGATTGGAAAAGTGAGTGAATTTGAGGCGGTGGTGAGGGCAGACGGCGGAAGCAAGGGCTGATGAGGGGAGCTCCATTTCGGTAAATAGAGCGCCAGGGTTTTGCACTTTGCTGTCGTCATCCGTTTCATAGTTTCGGGATGTCAACTGCCTACTTTGGTTGCCTGGGCTGGCCGGGACTCGTGACTGCGTCGGGAATCTTGGCCAGCGCAGGCATCCAAGGGCAGCGGTCTGGCGTTTCTGTCGGCGGGTCTAGGGGGCAGTTAAACCATCAAGCTGGAACTTTCAAGTTGTCTAGCTAGGCTGCCGTAGCGACACTACGGGACGTCACTCCCAATGGGTTTGTATCTTGTATTTTCGATTGGTGTTTGCTATGGCACTAGCAGCTGCCCATCGCAGCGATGTGGGTGCAGCAGCGCGGCTGGGAGGAAGCTGTAGCCCCACGTTTGGAACTTGAAATCACGATTTTTTGATCAAGTCCTTGGAGTTCCTATGCGGGGCGTACCCCTCCCACATTGAGGAAGGCAATGAGGGTGCGTGCGGCAGCTGTGCCACCTCTGCGCCAAACATATTCCGCTGCACGTCACCAAGATGCGACGCTGCAGGGCCCGTGATTTGTACCAAACGCAATAGTCCTCGGCCGTCAACGAAATAAATTACTGAGGGCTCCTGATTTGCGGTTGATGTTGTCAGCCAATGCAAGCTACTGTTGGGGTCAACAGAGATCTGAAATGAATGTGCCAAGAAGCTGTCGCCCCGTAACAACAGCAGGAAAGAAAGCGGAGAAGCACTATAAACTCGAAGCGCGTGCATTCAAATAATGATACGAGCGTCACAAAAATGGCTTCGTCGGGAACTGAGGATGCCCGTCCCACGCCACGAGAACGGCCCTGCCACGCCACAAGGACGGCGTTCCCACTGCAAAAGGTTGACGTTCGCGCGCCAGATGGACGCCACTCGACATTATTGTCTATGTGGGGGCACGTCTTACAGCGCCCCGTCCTTGTGGAGTGGGAACGCCATCCTCGTGCCGTCCCTTGCCGTGTGACTCCCATTGTCGTGGCGTCAGAGCACCATCCCCTGACACGCCAGGATCAGTATCAACAATTTCAATTGATAATGGCATTCTTGCACCGTGAGAACACCATCCTCCTGGCGTGGAAGCGTCATGGCTGAATGACAATTTGGCTAGACTGAAATGCTGGCAGCCATATCGCAACCCGTCAAAAACAAAGTAAAATCGTGCCATTTCAATTCGCGATAGGGTCGACCGAAGAGACACGGTGTGAACTTCGACCGCATGCCTGGAGTCCCTCGAGGATCGTCCAGTACCTGTCATTGCCGGATATGAAGGCGATGAAGGGGTCATGAAGGGTACTAGGGACATAAAACCCAAAAAACTAAAAACACCCTAAACCCCAAAATGAACTCTGTTACCTTCATGACCCTCACGACTTGATGACCTCCATGACGTTCATGACTTCATGTCCAGAAACGAAGGGTTTCGGACATTTGTGGGAGTCCCGCTGCTGGGCGCGAGCTGGGCCGTCCGCTTGGCACTCCGAGATCACGATCAACAGTTGCAATGACACTCGAATGAAGACGGGATGGTGCTCGAGCGCCATGAGCATAGCGCTCCCACGGCAAAGGGGCGGCACAACCGTGGCATCAGGACGGCGTTCCCTCGCCACCAAGACAGCACCCTGTTCCAAGGAAATGCTTTCCTTCCTTGAATAGAGCATGCAGCTGTCGAAACATGCAAGATGGAAATTTTGAGCTGGCACCAGTTAGCTCGGCGGAATTGAGGGCTTTCCGGAGAAGTCAGACGCGGTCAGAGCATTTTGAAAGTGAAAAAGCATTCTGAACATCAGAATTAATGACCATCAACGTACATGGTAATCTTTCGAAATGAATGCTTCAGTTGAATCCTCAATGGGGCGAGGCGAAGGCTTGGCGGATTGCGTCCCATATCAGAATGGAGGATGGCAGTCTCGATGGACCGTGTGATCGGGGCGGTTGCTGCCCACTGCTGGATGCTGGATGCGTCCCCTCGTTAAATGAAGAAAACTCCGGCATGAAAGAACGGAAGGGCGAAAGAACTAAACTAAACTAGGGAATCGACTTTCCATCAGGAGACGTGGGCCCACACCGCGATTTGGGCGCCAACACCTGTGCCAGAAACTGTTCGCCCCCACGCCCCCCGCACACCCACCTGAAGTTGCTTTTCGTCGCTGGCTGACTGCGAGCCCATCGACCAACCAACCAACACCTTCGCGGCGCTCTCCTTGGGCCTGCGCTCTTGCGGCATCCCCCCCCTCCGGGCAATCTTCGAGGCGGCTGAGCGCCGATGGCGTCGGCCGGCGCCAGCTCCAGCTCCGGCCCCGACGGCCCATGGATCGAGAAGTACAGACCGCAGAAGCTCGAGGACGTGTCTGCCCACAAAGGCATCATTGACACCAGTGAGCACCGCCTCTCCGGCTACAATCAACGGGCTCCGTCCCCTACCGCCAGCCCGTGCACCAATTTTTGACTGATCAAGGCGACAAGGAGATCTTGGTTGTTGCGCACGCTTGAACTGTGGTGTGTTTGCTTGGCGGTAGAAGCTCTAGCGCTGATTAAGGTTGCGGCGATGGATGTGTCCATTCACATTTGCCTGAACGAGGCATTGTTGTGTCAGTGATGCGATGGGCCTCTCCTGGCATTGTGTTTCTCCACGCGGACACAGCCAGTATCAGTCCAGTTCAATTCAATCCCGTTCTCATTCTTCGATGTTGCAATTCGTGTGTATTCAAGTCGCCTGTCCATCCCAGTCTGTGTTGCGTGGTAATTCCTGCGACACAGGGAAACCGGTTTCACCTTATACTTGTGAAATTTGACTCACAAGTTAATTGCTGTTGGGGTGTGTGTGTCCATTTTATGAGGCATGAGGCAATCCTCGAGTTCAATTTGCAATTCCATAGGTGTGCAGGCCAACCACTGGAATTCATGGTGGCCTTCCAGTTTAGAAGAACATGCTCTGCATGTGTGGGAATGGGGGTGCACCTTGTGTGTCCCATCATAGACTCTCTGTGTTGGATCCTTGCATATCCTTCACTTGTTGGTGGTGTTGGCATGCAAGTTATGCGCAGCCCAATGTGCTGCTGGCTTTTGCTGGATGTATCACGTTTGGTGTAGCCCAAAACCAAACCTAAACTGCTGATGAGCTAGCCGCTTCAGCCAAACAGTAGGTCCACAGAATTGAAACGAGGTCATGGCTGGTGCTTTGCTCACTCTCCATATCTTGCCATTGGTCACATTTCACTCCTTGGCCCTGCAACCTTACACTGATCACACTTTGGGGTTTGCCTGCATACAGTCAAGCGCCTGACATCAGAGAACCGCCTTCCACACCTGCTGTTCTACGGGCCCCCTGGAACAGGGAAAACATCAACAATCCTGGCTGTGGCCCGCCAACTCTACGGAAAATCTATGCCAAATATGACGCTGGAGTTGAACGCCTCAGATGACCGTGGAATCAACGTGGTCCGGGAGGAGATCCAAGACTTCGTTAGCACCCGGAGCGTCTTTAGGCACGGTGTTGGATGAATCGTGGTTTTTGCTGATGGAGCAGACAGACCATTGTCACATGGTGGCTACATCTTTCAACTCTTCATGATTCGCTTCGTCAGTTGTATATATTGTATATATTTTTCAGTCGTGTACATTGTACAACTTGTATGTATTTGTGTACAATTGTATGCATTTCATCGCTCAGTTCTTCAGTTGTATTGGGCGGCACTTTGGCCTGATTGCGGTGAAGTGCATGGCTTGCAAGAACTCAGCATGTTAGGTGCATTCCGAAAATGGCTTGGTTTGCAAAAGTGGTTTGCGTGTATTGTGGCCAATTTAAGCAGAGGCAGAATAAGCTCGCATGGGTCGAGATTGGCCCAGCCGTGCATTCCTGTTATGTGCGACTGTTTGATGTTGCTTGCTTGCTGTATTGCCATTGTGGGTGCATGAGCTGCAAATACTTGGGGAAGGAGCACACCCAAGATTTTGGGTGATACCAGTTCATGAACACTTTCACCCTTAGCCCATGGGTCACTCCATTGTCTCCTGATGGGAATTTGAAATGATCATCGTTGCAATTACTTGTTGGCTTCTGTGACATGTGGAACAAGGCTATTGACTTTTAATGCTCACCTGGACCAGTAGATCGCATTTTCCCTGGTAATGCAGCATCCTTAGTAAGTTCAGAAGTTTTGCAGAAAGATCGCCTTGTGTACTCGATGAAGCTTTTGCCACAGATGTGCATGTGGTGTCAAAAAATCATACTTTGGCCACTGAAATCCTGTTGCTTTTCCGTTTCTGAATTGCAGCAACACATTCAAGCTTGTGATACTGGATGAGTGCGATGCAATGACCAAGGATGCACAGATGGCTCTGAGGCGAGGTACAAGCTTTGCACCATTAGCTAAATGCCCACCAAGGCTGCACTCATTTCCGTTGCACCCAATACAAGGGGATCTTTGTTCAGTACCTGTGAAACATGAGGCAGTTTGTGTGAATCCTAAACAATCACATTTGTGCAAAGATTGCCTAGGACGGCACCTGCTACTTTTGATTGGTATCCACGTGTGTATTGTTTAACCCACCGGAATATTAGGGCTTATTTTCCCCACATCCATTCAAACAGCCTCAAGTACTACCAGTGTGCTGGAGGTGGTTTGGTTGAGTCGTGTTGCACTGCTGCCTTGGCACGGCTCTAGATACTGTGGTGCAGCAGCTAAACAAAGCCATTCCACCTTTTTGGGCGATAACAGATGCAGCACCATCAAGCACATACTGGTTTGTTCCTTAGACAAGTGTTTGTTCGCTGGTGCTGTGCCGTGTCCACAGCTTTCTTGGTGGCCAGCTGCCACTTTCCATGTCTATTTCCAAATCTATTTTCAAGGGAACAATTCATGGGTATGTGCAACCTGCCTACATACTCGAATCTCACAAGGTAGTTGGCCCAAGAATTGCGCATCTGAATCCTGAGGTGGAAAAGTGAGTTTGTATATGTTGAAGTCCATCGTTTCAATTTGTCAGAAATTGGCAATCCCAACCTTTCATCAGCAAGGCATTTTCGTGCACATGTCCAAGCTCTGGTGGTACAGATCGTCCAGTATACTGTAAAATATATATTAAACCCTTCTGCATAATAATGCAACGCTTGGCCTTTTTTGCCGGAGAAAACAACGTAAATATTCTCGCAAACCTTGGCCTTTCTGCGTAGAGCAACGTAAGAAAAACTAAAATGACGCTCTGAAAAGCAAAATGTGGAGCAAAAAGCATAACAGCGAAATTTCTGACGCGGAAGGGTTGAATGTTTTACAGTATGATCTGTAAATGCACAAGTTCGACAGGGTATGCAGGGGTGTGTACATGCACTGGACACACTGAATCTGTTCTTTGTTGTCCTGCTTTGCCAGTGATCGAAAAGTACACAAAGAACGCAAGGTTCTGCCTCATCGGCAACTACGTCAGCAAGATAATATCAGCACTGCAGTCCCGTTGTATGCGGTTCAGATTTCCACCCTTGGAAGAGCAATTTGTTCGTCCCAGGCTGCAGCATGTGGTCGACGTTGAAGGGTGCGCATTTGGAGTTATGCTGCTTTCCTGGGATTTCACTGTTGTCAATGCTTGGATGGCAGTTCAACACTAGGCAAAGATGTTATGTCTCCTATCCATACTTGTGCCTCTCCAAATGAGCTTCCACAACTTTGAATGCCATACTGTGAGGGCTGTCCTTTTATGGTATGGGGCATCATCATGATGACATTAGTGGAACAGATGGATGGCTCTGTGTATGGTATTGCTAATGTCATGTAAACAATGTTGGTTTGGGCAGGTGGCCTCTCACCTTGCCATGATAACACCATGAGTGAACTGAGCGCTCTCCATTCAAAAACACAAGAAATGCAATAAAATGTAAGAAATACACTGCAAATGTGTGAAAACAAGAACTGGAAAATGTGCAAATACGAAGTCAGAAATGAGAGCTTTGAAAGCAGACCCCCTTGGGAAGGAGGAACCCATAGATTGGTGTGGCATTGTTGATTTGCGCTGTGCTTTGGGTGGAAGTCTGCTTTGAACATTGCAGGAGCGATTTGCTTTTGGCTTGCAATGCACTTCAGTACAGACAAAACAAAAATTGAAATGTTGGTGTGCAAGGTTTAAAGGCTGATACTACTAGAACCTGCTTCCCAGGAGCTGTTGGCTACCCAGTGAGATGCTTTTGTGGCTGCGCTGCTACTGATCTTCAATGTGTATCGTTTTGCTTCAGTGTCTCCATCGATGCTGCTGCCATGGACGCATTGATAGCCTTGGGGTCTGGTGACATGAGAAGATCTCTCAACATTCTTCAGGTAAAACATTATTATTCACGCTGCTTGTGGTATGCTGTTCCTGGCACACTGTAGAATTTTTGCAGCCTGTTTCATTTGTAACATCAACTCAATAGAGTCACGTGCTGCAACTAGCTATGATTTTGTTCTTGCTGCCACAATGGATGCATTCATTCATGGTGTGCTTAAAGTATGCCACTGCACAACTCCTGCTTGGAAAATGTCTGTTGTAAATGTCAGTAATGTAAGAAATATGTATTGAGAGAAAGCCGTTGGTTCTGAGCTGTTGGGCAAGAGTACTTGGTGCAGGCATAATGCATCATGAACACCTGGGACTAGGACAACAAATTCGTCCTCCATCAGTTTTCCAAATGACAAAGAATGCGAACAATGCAGAACTCCAAATCGCGGTTGCTTGTCATGCAACATGCCCATGCAGATTATGGTGCCCGCAAATGCTGCCTGCTGTACTGTATAGCACAGTTTTTGTCATGTGCACAAATTTTTGGCTTTGCTGCCTGGGACAGGCCTGGTTTCTGTTAAAGCACACGCGCAAGCTGACCAACAGAATGATCTTACCTGCAGATCTAACTGCTCAAACATCTCTGCTCAAATATCTCTGCCTCTTGATTTTCCTCCTCTTCTGGGCGCTTTCCATTCACTTTTTGCATTGTACACATTGCCTCATCTGTTGGCATGCGGTACTCTTATGATGTGGAGTTGTCTATATTCCAAAGTGTTACATCATGCTTAATGTTGGAGTTGTTTATATTCCATTGTACTACATCACATTTAATGTGGGAGTTGGGGTTCTCTGGACTTTTTTGTGAGGCAGTTGTGGACTGTCGGAGTGGAGCATCTCCATATTACTATGCAGTACTGTCCAACAGTGACATGTGACAATACAACTATGGTTGTCCAAGTTGCACCAAGAATATTATTAATTATATGCAGCCCCACTTCTGTGGAATATGATGTGGGGACATTGGCCGAAAGTTGATCGGATACTGCTGAGCCTGACATCGCCTGAGGACTTAAGGGCTTGCTTTTCATATTCGAGAAATGCATTCCATGGATTTTTGCTTAGGTATAGGATTACAGTTTTATTGCTGCATTTGATAACAAATTTGAAGATCTTGTCTGCATGACAAGGACATTCCATGTAACTTGCTTGGCTCATGCCCCTGCAGTCAGTCCACATGGCATACGGCAAAGTAACAGAGGCTGGTGTGTACAACTGCACCGGAAATCCTTCTCCAACGGACATGCAGGAGGTGTTCAACTGGCTGCTGAATGAGCGCTTCAGCACTGTGTTTAAGAGTGAGTGTGTGGGCTGTCTTGTGGGAACGAGCACTGCGATTCTGGCAGAGCAGAAACTGTACTTTTGTATTTCTTTTGTGCAGCTATCATTCACTTGTTGCTGCGCTTGCGACTCATGTAGGTGGATTGTTGAGACAGCATCGTATAACTCATGCCGCTTCAGATGCTGTGCTCATTTGTTGATGAGCTTTGTCAGGCGTCACAGCGACTGCCAGAATAGTGTGGGGCACTGTTCATGAAGAAAACAAAGAACAGAGTGGTTATGGAGTTGTCTGAGCTGGCTGCAGATGGAGTGTAGCCGTTAAGCAATGCCACTGGCAATGTCCTGAAGGCTGTCTGCAAACCAGTTGACCATTTGATCAGTAAGGTCGCCAGTTGATCCCAGGGTGGGTGTGCCCTGACACACAGCACCGACCACTACCCCGACTGATTTGCTGCCATTAGTAATTTGCTAGCCCATTAAAGTCCATGAAGTCACACTCGGATTGCTTCAGCTGCGCTACTTTTGCCAGAGACTGCAGTCCCAGGGAGGCAGTGTTACTCACTCAGCACTGATTGGAATATCGTATTGCAGTCGGACAGTGGCGCATTTAGGTTGTGCACCCTTCTCTGCAGTGCGTTTTTTTGCTGTCATCTCCTTGAGGTGCAATGGATGTGATGTACGGGTCTTGAAAATGGAGGATTGAATGCATTTTACTATGAATTGGTACATTCTTGTTTCGTTTGTTGTCTACTAGTGCACATTGATGCAGTACTAAGTGAATGGAACTGCTGGATGTCTCTCCTGGATTGTTTGCGCGCCTGCCTGCCTGCCAGGCTTCTGTGGCCTATGGGTTGTTGCTCCACCATTATTTTGTCAATTCTTGGTTCACTGGTTAAGCACACCATGGCGCTGTGTGGAGTCAGCAGCTTCATATCCAGTTCTGCATCTGGAGCCTGATACTGCTCCGAGATGCACGTGATGTTTCTGTTCCACGGTACTGCACAATAGGTGTGAATTTTGTTGTTGGTCCATCATTTATGCAATATGCATTGTCTGAGACTCCTTTCCCTACTGATAATTGATGCTTTAATTTGAGTTATATCTAGCTTGACCCTGATTTACGCACTGTCTTTTGTGGTGTTTGCAGAAATAATGCAGATGCAGCTGGAGCAGGGTCTTGCCCTTGCAGACATAACTCGCGAACTGCACCCGTAAGTACAACTAGAAACTGAAAGTCGATTTGTGGCTCTTGAATGCATTTGATGTGACATTGTGGGATATGCAAAGCATAATCCAAGCTTTCAGCTTTCATCCTATGTGGCGAAGCCCTGCTCTTGCACCTATTGGATATGCTCAGGAAAGGGTTGGCCAATGCATGAAATGCTCTGTTTCACTTGCAGTTAGTCTTTTGTCAAACATGCAGTTCTTTTCTTCCCGGGTTGCCGTTGCTCTAGTTCAGCAGAGAGAGTCCAATGAATGAATGCCTTGGCAATGCGAATTGTCTTGCCCACCTTGCCTGTTGGACTTGCCTATCTCTTGGCAAATCGCCAAGCATCTGTGCCAGCCTGGCGGTGGTTTATCTCTGGTTTTGCTGAATTCTGACTTGGTGCATTATTTCTGGTTTCCCAGGTTGATATTTCGCATGCACATGCCAACCAGCATCCGCATCGACCTTGTCAGCAAGCTGGCAGACATCGAGCATCGCCTGACTCTGGCCACATCGGAGGAGCTACAGTTGGGTGCGCTGGTGGGAGCTTTCACTGAGGCAAGAGAGAAAATAGTCAAAGTCGCAGAATGAGGAAATTGAGCAAGTGCAGCTCAGGTACAGCTGCATCAGCAGTGGGATTCGGAGGATTGCAAGTAGTGCACCAATTCTTGCTGATGCTCTGGTGGCTGTGTGGAGTTGGCTGCACATGTTAGATAGCAGCTCGTACTGTAGTTGGGACCCATTATTGAGGCATTTGTTAGATATATTGTGTCGTGCCAGGTAGAGATTGGATGTGCAGAGGAGTCCCTGATGGGCATAATATTATTTGCAATGTTGCACAGGGACTTGGCAGAAATATCAGCAGTGTTGTGTGGGCTCTTTCTGGTGGAATGCAGCATATACTTGGAGGCACAATTGGGAATAGTGAACTTATGCGCAGCTCAATCGTTGCTCCCTGCAATCTTGCATGTCTCTTTTGATCGTGTACAATAGTTTGGCAGGTGGCCAAACATGGCAAGTGCTTTCTGTAAACTTGGCAATTGACAGCACTTGCTAGTTCGAGGCCCGCTTCAGGCCTCGAACGCCTGTTTCTTTGACATCGATGTACACACTGCCGATGGAAGAGTGGCAATCCCATGTGAATGTTCACGATGTTTGAAGATCGTCATTGAAGATCATTTTATGACATCTGAGCTGTCAGTCATTTCTCATAGATTTTATGAGAATGACTGACAGCTGACAGAAGCTCTGTCGTTGCCATCCGGTGCTAGTCCAGCAACACAACAAGGAAAATGTTTGCCTCTTGACACAACTGTTCTTGCCAACCTTATCGAATTCAGCACAAAGCATTTTCCACACCAAATAGCATAAGAACGTTGTCAGCTAGTGAGTCCCCAACTCAAGAGTCTGAATCCCAATCTCTTAAGACCCAAACGTGAGAAAACTCAGCTGCAACTGTGTTTGCCATTTGGCGCAATGTAAAACACCATTTAAAGCAGTGCTTTGCGTGCGGCACATATGTATGGCAGAGGTGCAATATACCAGAGCATTTGTGGTCACTGGGGCTGCCTTGCCAGTCGGCGGGAAATGCCACATTCATTTACCATATTGTGGCAGATGTTGTGCTCAGTAAATATGTGCAGTGTAAAACGAAGTCCATACCCAGCGAGACTCAACAAATCTAACAGCTTTCTGAATTGCCAGCTGATGATATCTTGCAAAGCACCAAGACAGAACTACAAAATAGGTATCTGGACAGAGACACAAGATATCGAAAACGTATACTGACACTCATCATGCCACCTAAAGCAACACATCAAGCGCTGCCGATCGGGAGCTTACTGCACATTGCTTCTTCCCTCCATAACCTAAAAATGGCACATTACGTACCATCGCCGTGGTCACATCACAGAATGAGAAGGAGGGAGTAAATCTGGGGTCCAATAAATGGGCTGACTATCAGCCAGCCCATTAAATGGGTTATAGATGTATTCATCACCCACAACGACCAGCCGACTTGAGGATTCACGACGTTCATTAAACTGATCAGCAACGCTCTGGACTTTATTGCCCAACTGGGGTAAACCATTAAGCTACTCAACTATCTGTCAAAGTTCTACTTCCATTCATAACACCCAAGAGGGCGCCTTCCCAAACAAATTACTGCAAAACAGGTGAAGGGGCTCCTGCTTGAAATTTGTCGCTCACACACTGCGCCAAATAGTCATAGTCCAGCCTAAAGCCTCGTGTTCCCCTGCAGCATCTCACTATTTCTTGAATTGAATCGAACGTCACGAATTTTACATAACAAGGCAAGGAAGCAGCCGTCAGCACCCTGCTTCGCCCCGGCAAAGCAGCTGTCCATGGTCTGTTCATTGAAATACAGTGCGTCACACGGACCAAGTCCAGAAATCCACCAGTCCCTATTTGCGAGAAGCGTTGGTCCATGGCAATGCACGCAAGGGATTGAGTCGAACACGCCACGCAAATTGGAAAACGGCCCAGAAAGGGGGCCGCTGCCCTCAAAGCTGAGGAATTTTTCATACCGCAGAGCCGCTCTTTACACGATGTGTAGCCACCGCGCGCCCCTTTGGCCCCCCCGCCTGCCGTGGCCCCGTCAGGCTCCCACCAGACCGAAATAATATTACTGCCTGCACCAAATCGGTGACTGCTTGCACCAAGTCACGTGCACATTTTGTCCTCACCTCAATTTTAGGGTTAGGTTTAGTTTCAGGGTGAGTTTTAGGGTTAGGGTTAGGGTAAGGACAGGTTTAGGTTTAGGGTTTAGGGTTTAGGTTTTAGGTTAGGTTAGTTTGGACGGAGTTGGGCATGATGTGCACGTGACTTGGTGCAAGCGGTCACCGATTTGGTGCAGCCAGTAATTTTATGCCCACCAGACCCGACCGCTCACCCTCATAAACCCTCGCCTGTTCCGTACACAGCCTCTCACCCCTTGACGTAAACCCGCGCTAAACCACATCCCCGCACCCCAACCCGGCGGCGAACGGATCCGCTCCCGTCCGCGGTTCTGCCGCGAGGCCGCACTCCCGGCCGGAGCCAGCCGCGCAGGTGGCGCAGCCGTGGCGCGGCGCCGATCCCTCTGCCCGTGGGGATCCTCCAGCATCAAAGTCCCTGACGCCGGGCGATCGTCCCTTGGCCGTGCGAAGAGGGCGGCCTCTGGTGGGTGGCAATGGACCGGGATGCCGGGGAGGGGATGGGGGTTGTGTGTGGGATCTTGAACGGGGCATTGGGCTCGGCTCGGTGGTTTGTGCGCCGGCCCGCCGGCTCGGCCTCGAGCTGCGCGGTTGCTGAGCGTGCACCTGGGCGCACACGCCGTCAGCTGCCTCTTGTCTTGTTCTTTGGCGTCGTCGCCTTTTGGTTCGGGCATCGTGTGCGGTGCGCCGCATCCTGCGGCCCCTTCAAGCGGCCCGGCCTCTGTAGCGCCACGGGCGGCGCGGCGGTCCCCGCGCCCCGCTGCGAGCGAGCCCGCACGATCGACTCCGCCGAAATTTGCGCCGCGCCCGTTCCACGTCCCCAGGGATCTCGAATCCCCCTCCCCTCGCCCATGATCGGCCCGAAGACCGCGCTGAAGCTCGCAAATGGCACCCTGTTCGCTCGTGCGCCCGGCTGCCCGCGCAACGCGGCCGCGAGGTGGCTTGTTTGCACTGGCGTGTTTGCTGGGCGGCAGCGGTGGAGGCCCTTCCGTCGGAGATGTGGCGACCTTCGTTACTGTGATGTCATTGTGGTGTGAGCGCATTTCAGCGCAGCAGCGGCCCATGACGGCGACCTTTGCTGAGTCGCTGCAGGCCGCTGTTCTTCGCTTGTGTCGAACAGCAGGGACGTTTGCATGGGATGATGGACGAGGCATCGAGCTCCGATGGCGAAAACTCGGAGGAGAGGAACTTGGTGGACGCTGAGGATGAGTTCCCCGAGATCGACGGGCTCGAGGAGCTCGAGTTGAATGGCGCGCACGCGATCCTGAACTTCCTGCGCTTTCACGACTTCGCAAGGGATCCCGAGGAAACCCGGCTGCGGGACTTCCCGCGGCTACCCGTGCCCGTGGAGGCGCTCAAAGGCGAGACGCGGCAGGACATGGACCTGTGCACGACGGACAAGGGCGTCAAGAGGCTGCTGGAGCGAACGCGCTCTGAGTACGGCGATTTCTGCAAGGCGGAGGGGTGCACGGATGACAATGTTTCCGGGGCGTCTTCTTTTCCCGGATTGGGGGGCCGGGAGGTCCAGGGGGGGGGAATGGACGCTGTGGAAGATGCCGGCGGCACGGCGCTGCCCTCGCCGTCTAGGGCCGGGCCGGTGTGCCCACTCCAGGCTTGGTTCGCCTCGAAATGCCAGCCCAAGGAACGGTGCTGCTCGCAGGAGTCGTGCGCGAGCACCTCGCTAAGTCAGTCGAGCATGGACGTCGACATTAACCCCGCCCCGAGTCCTGGCAGGGCCGGCAACCTCATCAACCGGCTCCTGGGCAGGGCTTCCAAGTCCCCAGCTCAGTCCTTAGTGCATGAGAACAAGGTCGATGGGGCCAAGCCTGGCAAGGCCAGCGGAGATGGGAAGGCGGACCAATGGGGAAATGTGCACCACATGATTGGTGCGAGAGAGCTGGGCATGTGCCGGGGAGGGGGCTTCTCCCGCAGCCAGCAGTGCCACGTCCTGTGCGGCAGGCGGATACCTGCGCACCCGACACGGGTGGTGGAGGAGCTGCCCAGCCGCGGTTATATCGGGCAGTTTTCTGAGGAAGGGGACCTGTTTGTGGCCGCGTTCCAGGACAAGTGCATCCGCATTTATGACGTGCAGTATGGCTGGCGGCTGAGGAAGAACATCCATGCCAGGATGCTCAGGTGGACTATCACCGATACAGCGATCAGCCCGGATGGCAGGCTGCTGTTGTACTCCAGCATCACCCCATACGTGCACCTTGTGAACATCGGCAGCTATGCAGATGGCATCGAAAGCATCTCCAATGTCACAGATATCCATGACTCCTTAGCCTTTGGGGAGACGAGCGACGGCTCTCGGCACATGTCTGGCAGCACGGTGGGCATCTGGTCCCTTGCCTGGTCTCGGAATGGCTATGAAATCATAGCGGGCACGAGCGACTGCAGCATAATGGTGTACGACTTGGAATCCCGGACGACGACGACCAGCGTGCAGGGGCACCTTGATGACGTCAACGCCGTGGCCTTCGTGGACGACTCTGCCAACGTGTTTGTTTCTGGGTCCGATGATGCTCTCGTGAAGGTGTGGGACCGCCGAATGCTGGGCCCGCGCCACAGGGCGGCTGGCGTGCTGGTCGGCCACACCGAGGGTGTCACCCACATCGACAGCAAGGGCGACGGGCACTGTCTCATCTCCAACTGCAAGGACCAGACGATCAAGCTCTGGGACTTGAGAAAATCCGTAACGGAGGAGACCCTGGCAAGGCGCACGGCGCCCCGCCTGCCCCAGTTCCACTGGGACTACCGCTGGAGCAAGTACCCTGGCGAGGGCTTTGACATCGCCCACCCTGACGACTCCAGCCTGATGACCTACAGGGGCCACGGCGTGCTGAAGACGCTCATACGTGCACACTTCTCGCCGGCATTCACGACTGGACAGCGGTACATATACACCGGCAGCTGCACCGGCTCCCTGCACGTGTTCGATGTGGTGACTGGTGAGGAGGTGGAGACCCTTCAGCACCACGTTGTGCCCGTGCGGGACTGTGCCTGGCACCCCACGGCCCCCATGCTGGCGTCGGTTGGGTGGGACGGCTGCATTGTGTTGTGGGCACCGCGGGAGAGCTGCAGGGAAGACCACAGCCTCCTCAGGCGCCCCAGCGGCGACAAGTACGACTTCTGAAAGGGGGCTGCTCGCCATTGGTGGGGGCAAGTCGGGTTTGTGAAGGAGGCTGGGCGCATTCACAACACCCAGTGAAGGTCGCTCACAGCTGCCGCTGATGTTCATGCACACCAAATGTTTTTTGGGGTTGTGGGGTATTGCTGGTGTTGGTCGGGGGGAGGCCTAGAGTGCATACTGTTTGCAACCCTTGTTTGTGATAGTTCACTTTCGTTGACGGTACCGGCAGTATCATCTACTGTTTGGGCAGCTGCGATGGCGACTAATAGCAGGCGTGACGTGTGAATGTTGGGTGAATCCAGGTGTTCGTGCATCTGGGCGAGAATTGACCGTAGTGAACGTTGTATGGGTGCCACGTAAGAGACTGAGGGTCAAGCGGGTCCTGTTGTAGTATATGGTTGTGCTCCAATTCTGTAGTAAGTGTGTAGGTAGTTGTGAGCACTGGCGTGCCAAATTGGGGAGGTGGCACAGGCAACGAACCGAATGCTTGAGCTGCTGCATATTCCATCCTCACCAATGGACTTTCGATGGTGAACGAACGCACACATTGGGTGATGAAACTTGGTTGGATGGCATATGGGATGCCTCAGGGCAGCTGGGTCGCTTGCAAGGTTCTGTTTTGTAAGTCCGTGCCACCTGTTTCCTTGCGCCTTCGCGTCCCGTCATCCGCGGGCGGCATTGTTTGCTGGCGAAATGGCCGGTGCTCTGAAGTTGTCCGGACTATTGTACATTTGTTGGTAGAGACGAACGCTTTGGGCGTGGGGACGGGGTTGGAGGGATGTCAGTATGTTGTTCATCCAATGTCGCTCCTTTTCCAAACAAGTTGAGCGGCCCAGTGATATGAAGAGCTGCACATTTCGTGGCGCGCTTAGCAGGTGCGGTGTCGCCCGACAGGCGAGAATGACGATCTTGAGGTTCGATGCGGACGTGGGTGGTGTTGGGCCGATTGGATGCTGGGATGTTTCCATTTCGTGACAAGGAACGATGGAAGCATCGAGGCTGGCCCTTGAAAGATTTCCTGATTTCACAACTGCGAGGCGAGGCAGCAAGTTTGCAAGTCGCAGCACGCTGGAGCGGCCAATGGCCATTGCCCGTGGGTCTTTGCTTGCCAGGACGCAAGCAGGCATGTCCAGCGGCTGCCACGCCATTCGGTGGTGGCCACTATTTGCTGGAGCCGAATCTCTGGTACCCTCATCGGCATACCGGTCGGCGCCAAATGACACCAACCCATGCGGTCTTCAGTCCGGTGACCCGGACAGCCCCAACAGAGCATCCTCCCCCTTTTGCGACTCGTTCCTCTCGATTTTGCAGTTTCCTCAGTGCGTTCGAAACGGCCAGGACACGAAGCGTGTTGGGCACGCCTTGACGTCAAACCCAGCCTGCAACTCCCGCCTCCAAACAATATTCCTGTTCAGTCGTGGAAATCCGCGACCACTTCACTCATATCCCCACACGTTCGAACGTGGAGCCCGCGAGTTCACCGCCAACCCCTCCTGCGCTGGGATAAAAGCGTCGATGAGCAACGAACATCACACTGGCACACACACACACACACACACACACACACACACACGGCGAACAATTTAAAACAAAGCGGAGTACAAATGATGAAACTGGCCTCAGCCCCGTCCGCACCGTACAAAGATACAACCCCTCACCTGCAATCTCCCAATTGAAACAGGAGCCAAAACAAATCGACCAAAAAACACACTGTCTGCTGCGATTTTCTTCCCCAGAGCGCCCCCAGTTCCGTTGTTAGTCTCACGTCATCCCCGCTGCACAACGCTATTTTCCTCATTCTTCTCATGTCCCTTCTCTGCCACTCTAAAATCGACAACAAGAGCTCTCCAGCGGACAACAGAAAGCGGCTTTGCTCACAGCCGTAGTTGTCTGCAACTTGTCCAGCACTCCAGCCACCAGGCAGCGGCGCCGAGGTTCGGGAGCGGCGTTGCAAACAGCGCCAGCGCCTCACTTCTTGAGCACGGATATGATCTTGTTCAGGGGCTGCGTACCGGCCCCCACCGCCAGGCCCGTCACGATGACGTCCAGGGCGGGGGGCGGGTTGAGGCCCACGGCATGCAACAGGCCGATGTGCGCGGTGAGGCTCAGCATCATGGCCAGCGCGGACGCCATGCCCCAGAAGATGACCGCCGTGTTCTTCTTGATGCGCCCCACGTCCTCCTTGACGTCCTGAAGGTCCTTCACCTTGTTCTGCACGTTCTCCTTGGCCGCCTTCTTTTTCTCCTTCATCGCCGCCCGCTTGTGCGCGGCCCGGCGGACCCGGTCCAAGCCCCGCGACCTTACCTGCAACACAAATGTCCGATGCCCTTCACAAGTCCGTGACCTTTACCTCTTCACGTCCAGCAATGGAGTCAGTAAGGTCATGAAGGTAATGAAGGCCATGAAGGCGATGAAGTCATGAAGCCAAGAAGTCCTGACGCTCATGACGGTCATTTTCGGGTAAATGGTGTTTTTAGAGTATTTAGCGTATTTAGGGTATTTAGTGTATTTACGGTGTTTTCAGGGTATTTAGCGTATTTAGGGTATTTAGTGCATTTAGGGTGTTTTTTGGGTATTCAGCGCATTTAGGGCATTTTGTGTACTGTATTTAGGGTGTTTTTAGGTTTTTAGATCCCTGGTATCCTTCATGACCCCTCCATGAACTTCATAACCAGTAATACGCAGCAGACAATCCCCACCTGCACCGTGGCGTCGGCCGCAAGCACCGTGTTGGGCTGCTCGCCGTCCAACCGTTCAGCATTCGGCTGCTGGCGGTCAGGTTGCTGTGCATCGGCCTCCTGGTCCTCCTCGTCGTCGCCGTCCTCCTCTTCGGCGATGCCCGCCGCGATGGCGCCCAGGATCTCCGGGCCCACCTTGGCCACCTCCTCCATGACCTTGCCCTCCTCTATAGCGGGCACGACCTTCTTGAGCTCGCCGATGGCCTCCTCCATGGCCGCGGACCCCGCCGCCTCCACCTCCTTCTTGGCCTCGCCGAACCTGCGTCCCCAGCGCACTTGCGTTACAGGCGGAAGGCCACGAGGAGAAGATAAACAGTCAAAAAGCAACAACAAATGGCCACAGGTGAGCAAATGAACAGTAAGAAACAGTAAAAAATGGCGACAGGTAAAGAGCAAACCACCCACCAGCAAAAAAGCAGTAAAAAATGGCCACAGGAAAAACGATAGTTGAAAGGAGTTGGAAAAAGCAGGCAAGAAAATGAACGGTAAATGAGCAGTAGAAAAGCAGCAGAAAATGTCCACAGTAAGAAAATGAACGGAAAGGGCGAGAGGCAGGAGACCGCTTGTGGAAGCACGTGGGCCCGTGGCCGCCTGCAGGGCGCGAGGGCGGCGTTTCGTCTTCCAAAGGCAAGTTTGAGCAGGGCGTTTCGCCTGCACACAGAACGCATGCGCGTTTGCCGCCGGGATAGAATGCCGCCAGAGAAAACGAACGGGCTGGGGAATGAACAGCGTTTGAGGAAGCGCACACCGGCCGCCGCCCGCAAGGTGGGAGGGCACCGCTTTGCATTCGGAAGGCGGATTTTGACAATGACGTTCGGCCTCCCAGCAAGTATGCCCCGAATGCATGCGTTGGAGACTGGTGGCGAGCGGACCAAATGAACGGATTAGGGACAGAAGAACGTTTGTGGAATTGTGCCCGTCGCCACCCTCAAGGTGCGAGTACACCTCTTTGTCTTTCACAGGAAATTTCTAGCGTGGGCGCTGGCCTGTGCCATGAACGCAATGCGCAAGGGAACAAAACGGACGAGTCAGGACAGGAAAACATTTGGGAAGCGTGAAGTCCCGCCGCCGCCCGCCAGGCTCAAGGACGCCGCTCCATCTCGCAACAGCAATTTTCAATGCGAGCGTTCGGCCTCACCAGACCTGAAGTAAGCCTTGAGCGGCTCCAGCAGGCGCTCGATCGACTGCGAGAAGACGTAGAATACGCCCAGCAACGACACGCCGTCGGTCACGCGCCCGCTCTCCAGATCCGGGGAGAATAAGATCGCCAACACCGCCGAGCCGGCCACCAGCGCGTACACCGCCGTCACCACGTCCCCCTCCTTGGCCTTGGCCAGCAGGTACACCGCGGGCAGCTTGCGCGGCACCAGCCGCGTCAACCCCTTCCACCACGGCTCCCCCTCATCCCCCACCTCCGGCCCCTTGCCGTCCACCACCGCGCGGAGCGCCGCGCGGCCGCCACGTCGATCGCGCAAGGCGCCCAGCCCCCAGGGGGAAGAAAATGAAATCTCCGCCCGCGTCCCAGATCCGCGCCCCCCCCCCGCCACGCCGATCGCGATCTGTGCAGATCCGCCACAGCTGACGCGGGCGCGGAGGGGGACCGGGCTGGGAGAGTGTACGGCCCGCGCCACGCCTTCCCCGGTGGCCTCATGCCGACGGCTGGCCGGCCTGCCGCCGCCCTGGGCGCAGAGGAGGCTAGGAACCGGGGCGTCGATCCATGCTGGTCGGTCCTTGGGCGGTGGCGCGATTCATATGGCCCCCGGATGCGGCCCCGCAGCTGCCACCTCACTCTCGGACTGGGGCGCCGCTGGGCGGGCTGGTGGGCCGCGCGGCACGCAGGGCAGGCGGCCTGGCGCCGTGGTTTGGGGTCCGGCACCGGCAGTGTTTACTACACCCCTACTTTGGGACCGGTGTGAAGTGACAGCGAGATGCCTCAGGCGCTGATTGGTGTTTCGCGACACCCTGGTTTGGGGGTACTGTGGAGCGACAGCAAGGCGGACCTGGCGTTGAACGGTGGTGGCTTCGTTGACTGTAACACGGCTTCGGGACTGCTGCGAAGTGACGGCAGGGCGGATGAGGGCGGCGGACGGTGGCGGAAGTGATACGGGGGAACTGAATTCGCGGCTGGGGTCGCTCTGCGGAGTTCCCGCGGGTACGACGCGACATGCGTTCATTCGATTAGTCAGTGGCTGTTAGGGGGCGGCTGGGAACCCGATGCGGCGTCCCGTGCGTGCTTCTTTCGAGGTGCTCAAGTTGTGTGAGCTCTGTCTGGGCAACCACGCGGCCCTGGATCTGCCGTTGCATTCAGGCGGTGGCGACGGGATACATGGTTGGAAATGGGAGACTAAGATATGGCTGAACAATATTATCGATATTCGCTGAACAATAATCAAGTAGTCAATCCAGGAACGCAAAATCAAGTGTATGAATTCTGAGAATTAAACGTCGTAACGCACATCGGCGTCTTGTGCAGGCAAGAGATTCGCAATCCCAGTCAGCTGCAATTGATCTCAGACACGCCGTCTTCAGAAGTCCCCTGTTTGCACATATTTCAACGGTGTTGAATTGGCGTTCATTGCCTGAAATCGTTGTCCACCCACTCAGAGCATCTTAGAATGATGCCGTATCGCACAAATATGAATTCTATTGTCGGTGAAGTACTCACCATTGCAGTGCACCATTGCGCATGGAATCGAAGGCAATTTTCATCAAACGCCATTGCGTCGGCAAATTTGAATCATATCTCAAGACCCTTTTTCTCACAAAAACATGCCAACACCGCAAAGGTGCAGAGGCATGGACCTAGAAGTAATGCAAACATAATTAAGGCGCACGAAGGACAAGTACCCCACAGACAAGTTGCACCACTGCTTGAAACATGTGATCGGATTGAATTTCGAGCACGCCGCCCCCCAAAATTCTCAGCATCGGCTTTCTAGCAACGCCCTCGATACTGTGGCATGGCTTCGATGGCTGCCGCAACTTGCACAACCGATACTGCAGCGTATCTTCAATACTCCAATACCCCCGAGCTGCGGTGGGCCCTGCGCCTGGATTTCCTCATTTTCTCCTTCACCTTGGCGTCGCCAGACAATGTGCCTGCCACGCCAACAGCCGCTCAGATCAGGATGCGTGCGTGCGCGTGGATTTCTGATCTCGGCATTCGAAGTTTAGACCAACACATGAATGGAGCAGCTGCATATGAGGTCCGCACTCTCATCCCATCAGGCAGCTGCACCATTCCTGTGTGGGCCCGTTCGCTTTGTGGGAGCGAACGCTAATTCTCGCTGCCAATCATTCCATTACGTTGCCGAGGGACCAGTGGGCTGTGGATGGTTTATCTTCGCATTGCTCGAGGCTCAGGGGCTGTATAAACAAGTTCAAGACTGCATGGCTAATGGTTAATTCTACGTTGAATGTCATGTCCAACATTTGGATATTTGTTTCAATATATGCTGATTGAACTACTTTTGTACACATCGAATTCAGTTGGCTCTATTCGAAGATTTTCACTCCAAGGCTTTCATGCCGGGGTCTTGAATCGTGCTGCTTCTGCCCAACTGCAATACCTTTCCACACTTGCATGCAAATATGACCCGACTACAAAAATGAGGTAGGAGGAAATGTTGGTGACGGTATGCATGACGTTACGATGCAGCAACAGTGTTGCATCAACTTCCGACCGAAGCAAATCCGGATGGACATGGATCAATAAACTTGCGGACATGATAGGCCCCTGGCATGCACCCTTGCATTCTGTTAGTGTTGTTGCTCTATAGAACGACAACGAAGACAGAGCGAACTTCTCGCGATCGCTCCCTAGGTTCAAATGGGGGGTGGGGTGGGGGCGGGGGTGGGGGAGGGGGAACCCCAGCATACGAAAATTTCCATATGCAAATTGTGCTGGGGTTTCTGTTGCTATGGCAACTCAAAAGGCCTCGACGCTTCAGAACCGCCAAGTGCAGTGCTGGGGATGCTCGTGGGTATTGGAAAGCGCGGCACGAGCCATAAACAGCAAAATCATCACACATGCGGACACCAGCGGCACTCCCAAGCACAATGCCTCTGCTGATAGGCAGCTGTGGAAAGAAAGATGGATTTTGCGCTCACCTGCTGGAAGCCCGTTGTACTCCAGGTCCACAGAAAATGTGAAGGTTGTCGACCTGTGCTTGGCAATTTGATCGAAAGCGAGCACTCCGCGCCCCATGGTCTGGCACATTGTGGCCCCACGGCTGGCGTGGCTCACGATGCGAAACATCACCCTGGCGCCGCGCCAGATAGTCGCGACTCACCACCGTCAGAAAGCAATACTTTTGCGATGCCAAATGCGATGCTATTTTGACACAAAGCAATGCCATCGTAACGATTGCGATGCCGTACAGGCAGCTGTGACGGCATCAGTTAATGTCAAATAGCATCGCAGTTAGCGTCACAGTAATGTCACTTTACGCTGGTGCACGACACGAAGTGCGGAATACGGAGGCATGACGCGCCTTGAGAGAATGAGGAACAAACAACATCTTGCAGGCGTGCGTACCTGCTATCGCTTTTGGGGCGTTTCCCGTATCTTCAGCACTAGTACATATTGATAAAGTTGTCTTGGCAATTTCGCCGGTAATTGTGTGGATATGAGCATGTGTTAGTAGATCCAATGACGCACGTACGGTGTTCAAATAATTGCATTCATGTCATCATCACGTTACAAGTTCCTCAGCTGAGTCTATGTCAGAGAGTGTGAGCGACGACCTGGGGATTGGTGATGATGCTTAAGAATATATATCTTGGCTATGGCTCGTAATCTCCATGGGTGCCCTGCAATCGACATTTGCTCCGAGCAACAGAATCAATGTGGCCATCCTGATCCTCGCATGGAAATCTGTCCAATGGGGTCCAGGGCAGTGCTTTGACGCACTCGCAGGGATGCCCATTCCTTTTATGTGATCTTCATGCACGGGAGGTCCATAGCTGCCGCAACCACTGCTTACCGAGGTTGCGGCTTCCACGACCTCGCACCTCCAATAGCGACACGCCAGCGCAACCGAGCTCATGGCTCCTATCAGTGAGCGGCTATCAATGGAGGCCAAATATCCAAAGAATATCCAAAGGAATATCCAAAGGATTGAATATCCAAAGGATCAACCGTAATATGTTCAACCCTTCTGCACCATAGCGCGTTTTGAGCTTCAACGTTTGGAATTTTTGGCGGAACAATAATAAAAAAAAATAACTGTGGTAAATGTTGGTGGAGCAGCCAAAAAATGGCGCCCTAAAATAGCGCCAAAGGCCCCAATAGCATGGCACCAGGGATACGCGGAATGTGCTGCGGCTGGACGTTTGTGGGCTCCCCACTTGGCTCGCGCAACGCATGTGCGAAGGAGCCTGTGGACTGGCCAGCTGCCCCAAGACTTGGACATCAGACCAGCAGACTGCACTGCCCAACCTGCGTGCGCCAGAAGCGGCGAGGAGCGTGAAACAAAAAAACGGACTGAAAGGAAAATGCAAAGCAAATCAAGTCACTGAAAATTTTTAATGCGAAGGAGTTGAATATACAACGGTATTATCGATTCAAAGTGCGTAAAAAGCATTCAATGTGTTCCTCTGCTATGTGGACCTAGTTCGTGTATACGTACGTGGCAAAGAAAATACCAAGCTGTACATCAGAGCCACAAACTACGCAGACACAAATCGCACGCAAATCTCACGCATGATTAAGGATTAGATGAAATTCCTGCTCGATTTTCGGGTATTTTCATGGTCAATTGGGCCCAGGATTGTTATTCACGGCGCAAACGCAGTTTGTATTTACATATTATTACACACATTTACATAAAATACGTGAGTGTGATCGGCGCTTTCCCCATAATAACAATCCTGATTTGGTCAGAGTGCCTTCGGACGGACCCAATGGTCGCCTTCCCCTCACCTGTAATTAATGAGGTCAACCAATTCTCCTGCTTTGAATTTTAGTTTAATGGTGTCACGCCATTTCGGATCCCGTGTCATCCACACCACGGGCGTCTTGTGAACCTCACACATCAATCCCGGTCCGGCGACAATAACCTGAAGTATATGTCTCAAATTCAATTCGATTTCATGCGCTGCGGCCCGCATTACATTGTAATCATCATCCCTGGATTTTATCGGACCAATCAAGGATGGAACGCCGTATTGCTTAAATCATGTGCCAACAAGTATGACTAACAAGCTTCTGAAAAGCGGCAGCTTATTAATTTGCGTAGCCTGATTATCGGCTGATGAAAGGGAACCAGTTGAATTACACACTATGGTAACCGCATAATCTTATCATGAACAGTGCTGTTTCAAATGAGCAGAACTTTGATCGTGCCCGAAGAAGAATCAAGAGCAGAGCGTCTGCTGCAATGTTCACATAAACATGTCGAATATTCCAATATATTCTGAGACAAGAGCAACCCAGTGAAATAGAAAACAGGATTGAGTGCTGCTTTGATTCGAGTTATTTTGGGGATACCCTTAGGCAAAACTCATTCCTTTAATATTACCAAACAGACTGAATTGACGCATTACCGAACTTATTGCTTCGCGGCAACAGTTCACACAGTCATCTGAAGATGAAGATCGAGGGAATATACTCAGCATCTCCTCAGCCTGCTTTCTCGCACCTGCGGGTTTGGAGCTCTTGCCTTCGACCTGTTGCTTTGCTTCAGCATAAACAACCCGTTCGCGTGCAGGTTGGTGATGTAAATGACAACAATTTTGTCGGCGCAGAACTGGAATACATGTTCTTGGTACATGACTGCCAAGGACACATGGAAATTGATTTTGTCAGCGGCATAGCAGGGCAGACTTGACCCACATGCTTGAAAAAATATCGCGTATGATGGATACTTCTTCTGTCCCAAATTAAATGAAACATTCTGTTTGCATTGCCGCATTGTCATCAAAATCTCTTCAGTTTTGCTTGCAAATTTGACCAGAGCACTATATTCACGTTGATACACGCGAATAACGGATAAGCATTGGTCAAATTTTTGTACTTTGAACCCACATGATTTTGCCGAAAACCCCGATTTTCTCAGGCTGGCCGCCCACACCCCCCTGAGAATGGCCCGTCGGCCAGGTCGCTTTGCGACTGTAGGTGCGCAACGCTTAATGGATGTTTACGGCCGCCGCTGTGACTGCAGGTTGGAGGCGTTCCTCTTGAAGTGCAGATGATGTGAAACCGAGCTCCGTGCTGCTCGATCATCGACAGCGACCGTGGATTTGACAGCCCATTCAGCGTTTCAGATTTGGAGCAGACGCAGAAAAATCGGCGAACTTCCCGATCATTGCGTTTCCTAAAAGGGCGACCGCCATAGATGGGGTGGCCGCAAGTGCTTAGGCCAGCACCAAAATCTTGGTGGATGCGATTGTCAATTCGGTGCACAGCAGCGAAAAGATAGCTGGAAGCTGCTGCGCCTGGCACAGGCCCCAAGGAGCACTTCGAGTGCGGTTCAAGCCGCTTTCAAAGAGGCTTCTGCGGCAGATTTTGTACACCGTCCTTGCAGAGCGCAAGAGCACCATTGTGCACCACCTGGGGTCTCCGATGGGGCATCCGCACCTTCCATCGGTCGTGTTTAGTGGGATTGATGCCCTTTTGTGGTTAAGTGTTCCTTGCGCCAAACGCGCCATTAGTTGGAGATCGGCAACGAACGAAGAGAGTTCGGCGCACATAGCGGTTCCGCGGCTGGTCTTTAATCACCAGGAGAACTGCTGGCAACGGCAGATACTAGTTGTGTCACTGCGTCGCCGTGGACGTTGGCGGGGATTTCTGCAAATCCGCGATGGCGATATGGGCAGCCATGCGCCACCATCTCTTGCGGTTGTCCATCCCGATGGGTTCCGATCGTTGTGCTAGAGCCTGAGCGAGGTTGGCCGCTCTGCCCTTCCTGTGACCTGAGGTCCGGAAAGAGGGGCTGCACTTGTGTGTTTTGCCATCCCGGACCCGGGAACCTATTTTATGGTGGGCGGGGGATGCCCTGGGAAGGACCAAATTCTGGACTGGAATAGTGCAGGTTCAATGCATTGCCAAATGCAGTGTGCTTAATCATTGCCTCTAATTTTTTGGCAGCAACTACTACATGTACAAGAGGTGTTTTCATTTGATTTTGAAGGAAAAAGCGAGGAACAGATGTAAATTCAGCCTCACAACAAATTGTTTCATTTAATATGGGACAGAGTAAGTATTTTTATTGAGCTATTAAATCGCTACATCGTATGAGTCATCCAGGATGCGGGCATGAATTTGAGCACGTTATGCATCCAAAACAAAACGATTAGCGAGAAGACATGTTGCCATTGGCGCACAACAAGTATCTACCATTAAACGTGTGGGCCCTAAAATCGCGCATCGTGTGTTACTAGCTTGCATGCAGGAACAGTTTTATGGCCTTCCTTATTAGGGATGGTATTTCTGTGTTGTACATGCATGCCAACTATATAGGCATTTCACATCAAACGTATCCTTCCAGTGTACGGCATCCAGGGCAGTGAAGAACGCCAGTTCAAAATGCGTTTGAGTTTACACGAGGATGCCATCTATGTTGAGGATCAGGGGAGCCACAGTCTCTGCGTAGCTTTGCTCGTAACGTACGTTGCGCCATTCAATAAACGCACGTTGTGGAATGCACAAAAAGCGGAACAAAATCACGCTCCTGTGGCATTTTGCATATTTATCTCGGTTCCATAAATTCCATTTGTAAGTTTCTAATTGGTTAAAATTTCACCATGCATGTGCGGATTTATGTTTATGGCAAATAAATCAAAGCGAAAAGCCCATGCGCCAACATGCGCTCGTTTCTAGCAAAATCTGCCACGCTCGTTCCCGAATTAATTCCACAACCTTTCTGGATAATTCCTTTAAATATTTAATGTATGTTACTAAGCCTTTTATCTCTTTTGTCCTACTTTGGGGAATCCCCGAACAGCAACAGGAAATTTTGCTTTTGCTACGATATGCGATTTCTTGATGGCATTTCGGCATTAGTAAATGCAAACTCTTGACACTCAGAGGCCCGAAACCTAGACCCAAAAGATCGGTCCCTGTAACGTTATCCCTCTCTGTCACCAGCAGAAAACAACCTGTTTGCGATGCCAACTGCGATGCCATTTTGACACAAATTGATGCCATCACAGCCCCTTTTATGCCATTGCACTCACTGTAACGGCATCAATTTGTGTCAAAATGGCATCGCAGCTGGCATCGCAAACATGGCGCTTTCTACCAGTGTGTGCCGGCCCTCATTTCGGTTGCAGTCTCGGCGCCCGTCCAATGTCTGCGTATTGGGAACATTGCGACATTTTTGCGGGGGGAAACTGTGGGCAATTGAGATACTGCAGCATTTTTGAGAGCCCTATCTCCCTGCAATCATTCCGGTCCATGTGGCAATCGAAACAAACATTTGCGGCAGTGCCGCTGCACTAGTGCAGCGCGCCTGAATACATGGGGATCTGTTGCGAAACTATTATTTTTAAACACTTGTTTCCGAAAGCATCTGCCCTACCACTCAGGACAGGGACAAATTTTGGGGAAATTGGTTATGATATTTGAGTCGCATTTGGAAGTGCTGTGTGGTCTTGCTTTTCAGTTCATTGCAGTGTTGTGGAGTGATATCTGGTAAGGTCTTGAAGCAAATCCTGGCATTTGAGCACATTTTTTTCAAACGGATTTTAGGCACATTTTTTGCATTATCAGTGACGAATTGCTGAATATGCGTTGCCAGTACTGAGCCGATGTGCAGCGGGTGGAAGTGCGACGAAGCCGCGCGTGCTCAGCAGTGCATTATGGCATTATATTATGCTTAAATTATTTTTATGTGTCGGCTGGCCATCACGAATAGCCATCTCGATGGCGAAGCGACGTTCTCTTTTGCAGCATTGATACAAACGCCTACTCTGTTTTGTCACTGACCAATGGGCCTACGTTGATAACTGCATACCCACACAACACTTTGAACAGTGCAAACCTTGCATTGCTCAACCGACAGAAAGGCGTGCTGGAAATATTTGTTCTAAGTTGAGGTAAATGCTTCTAATTCGATGTTATGATCACGTTTGTATATCTGGGCGCAAAATATCAGGTCCAAAATTCATTAATTGCATTTGTGATTGTTAATTAATTGTTATAATGCCGGCAGACCTTTCAGCAAACGACAGCAACTCGACCAATCTTTTTCACTTGTGCAGGAATGGAATCCTACACTTTGAGTCCCATGTTTTTTATCATTATTGTGCATATTTATACGTAATTAGATAAGATCACATAGGTTGCAGCAATGTGCTGTCTCGACGTATCGCGATACATTGCGCTGCCATGTTAAAAATGACAGAAATATGGAATGCCGACCCACCCGTTGGAACTTCGAAAAGGGCGCCAACGGGTTTGTGATCCGACGAACCGATTTCTGGAACGGCGTAGTAATCCAGAACTTTTGCGTCCTTCGTGGGGATGCATGATCGGAAGAGGATTCGGTCGCACCACGATGGCATCCTTTCTTTGGACCACGAATACCCAGGAGTCTTCTCCATCTTCACAGCAACCAAATCTCCAATTATTTTTGATGGACAATTTATTCGAGAGTGTGAATGGCTCTACAGTCGCCCAAAAATCAATCCTCTGAGGGTACTATGTTGTAAAAATGCTTTGATATCCTCCATTGGTAAGAAAATTGTCATTAGGGGGGCGTGTTTGAATCAAGTTGATGATCAGATTCGATGTGAGCTTCTGGAATGTATGATGGCACTTCTTTATCCGAATTTGGAACGAACAACATTCCATGCAGCGCGCAGTCTCTTGTGCAGCTTATTCTGCGTCCATTATGGCCTTAACAGAATGCAGGGGTGGACGTCCGTAAGAGCATGGACGCTATCATGGAGCATGCATGAAATCAACAGACAAATGCTCAGGCAATAATTGAACGAACGGATCAATTGAACGATATGCCATTCAATGATCGTTCATCGCAATTGCGCAGACCAAGAAATGC